CCCCCGGGGCGCTTCTGCCCCCTCACGCACACACACACACACACACACACACAAGCGTGCGCACCAAGGACATTGCCATTGCCGCGCCGTCAAGTGGAGAATAAATCACAAAACTTTTTCCAGAAAACAGGGAAACATGTGTTGTTGCTCATTTTGAGAGCGGACAGTGGGGGGAGGGCTGGTGGGCCGAGGCCGGCCGGGGACGAATTGTTCTCCTGCCTGACCTGCTCCGACCACGCCCCGCCCGTCCGCAAGTGCACGACCGTGCGTGTCTCTTCCTGTGGAAGTTCCACATGCGTATGCATTCGCTTTCGGGAATTTTCCAAAAGTTCTTGGACAAATTAAGATTGCACAGTGTAGAGCCATGCTGCGCATGGTCTACATATAAATAGATAGCTGTAGTTTGAATGTGCCGCGCACCGCCGATGGCACGCCTGGAGGGCGACAAGGCTGGCGGCCGCCGATAGAGCGCGCTGCCAGCGAGGGCGGGTGGACAGCGGCCGGCGAGGGCCCGGCGGATCGGAGCTGCAACCACAACCACCGCAACAGCAGCAGCAGCTCTATTGTCCACCCCCTATAAATTGAGGTCGCACCCAGGCCACAGGACATTCAGCGGAGACACGTCTCCGAGTGCGTAGGGCAGGCACTGCAGTATCTTGGTTGAATACACTAAGGTGACTCTCTATCCTTGCGTTTCTCTCCAAGCTCGCCAGTACGAACCTCTCAGTAAGCTAACATCACACTCGCCTCGAACACTGCGCCTCAGCTGCGGTCCGCCGCGCTGGTCTACACCGGGTAGCGGCTCGCCGTGCCCTCACCCAGCTGCGGCCCGCCGCGCTGGTTAACACCGAGTAGCGGCTCGCCGTGCCCTCACCCAGCTGCGGCCCGCCGCGCTGGTTAACACCGGGTAGCGGCTCGCCGTGCCCTTACCCAGCTGCGGCCCGCCGCGCTGGTTGACACCGGGTAGCGGCTCGCCGTGCCCTCACCCAGCTGCGGCCCGCCGCGCTGGTTAACACCGGGTAGCGGCTCGCCGTGCCCTCACCCAGCTG